ACACGCAGTGGTCAAAATGCGCATCAAGGAGATCAAGATAGAGAACGGGGAACGGAAGCTGATTGGAGCCCAGAAAAAGAAGAAGCTGCTCAAGCCGGGGCCCCTGAAGCGCAAAGACACCAAGAGGCTGGTGCTCCACATGAAGAACGGCGCGGGCTGCCCCTGCCCGCAGCTGGACAGCCTGGCCGGCAGCTTCTTGGTCATGGGCCGCAAAGTGGACGGACAGCTGCTGCTCATGGCTGTCTACCGCTGGGACAAGAAGGATAAGGAGATGAAGTTCGCTGTCAAGTTCATGTTCTCCTACCCCTGCTCCCTCTACTACCCCTTCTTCTATGGGGCCGCTGAGCCCCACTGAAGGGCGCCCCTCCCTGCCCCACCAGCCAGCTGTGTCCTCGCCCCTGGGGCACACTGTCACCTCCTGCCCCCGTGGCCTCGCCTCCAGTTCCAAGCTAACCTGGTCCCTGTGGGAAGGTGGTTACCAGCACAGGCCCTAAGGGATGGGCGTGGAGCCTGGGCTGTCCTTGACCGAGGGGTTCTGGGGCTTTCTTATTTGGGGGTAAACCCCTAGGATCTCAGAAAGCAGGCGGCAGGAGAGAACAAGGGAAGGGTGGAGGGGCTCTGAGCCGCCTGGGTAGGTTCTGGAATGGACCGTGGTGTCAGCTCCCCTCTGCTGGTTGGGGGGGCCTTGCCTTGGAGAGGGAAGTCTTGATATTAGGCTGAGCTACTTGGGGGACAGTTCTCCATCCCCACTGCCCTTTCATGTGGCCTCTCATGGCCCCCAAAGGAAAGGCATTAGGGGCACAGTGCCTCCAGCCACACCTCCCCACTGTCCCCGTCGTCTCTGCCTGGTTCCCTTCCCCCTGGACTGGAGAGAAGCCCAGCCCAGCCCCCCTCCCACGTACTCGCTTCTCGGGTTCATTCTTCAGCCTCCCACATGTCCTTCGACCCTAATGACGAGTAAATTATTGCTACTGCTACGAGGCCATAGGTACTAGACTGATGCAGGTAGGGGTTGGTTTTTAAGTTTTTAAGGTTTTAATTAAATAAAACAACAGTTGGTTTTGACCAGGTGATTTCTTTGTCAGCCAGTTCCCCAGAGGTGGGGAGAGAGAGGTTCAGAAGGGACTTTTAGAAAGAGGCCCTTGTCGTAACCCACGGCCTGTCCAACACAGACATATCCAGGATGCCGAAGGAGAGCAACGCCCGCGTTTGTACAGCATCCTCCAAGAGCACACAGCAAGGGTCACCCTTCTCACCCCCACCACAATGAAGGGGGGCGAGGACCGTGCTTTTGTCCCTGAGGAGGGACAGAAATGCCAAGTTCCCCAGCCTGCTCCCACGGTCAGAAGGCTCCCACGGTCCTGCAGTGTCTCCCCAGCGTGGGCAATGCCTGCTCCGAGGAGCCCAAGAAGGCTGGGCCCCGGGAAATACTCCAAAGCGCCAGAGGCCTAAACATGTCACTCCTATCCCTTCAGCACTCACACACCCCTGGGCACTTGTCCTGCCCTCTAGATGATGATGGTATAGACGGGAGGTACTCTCAGCGGGGTCCCAGAACCAGAGCAGAGGCTCAGGCCGCACCCAGACCTGCAGTATCAGAATCTACATTTTAACTCACAAACCTTCCAATCATTTAAGGAGCTTCTCCAAAACACAGACCCCACGCGAAAGCAATTAAGTCCAAGTTTTTGGAGGGTGTTCAGAAATCAGCATTTCTAGATGCTCCCCTGGGGTGGCGTGCAGCCCAGGTTGAGAGCCTCCATCTAGATCATCTAGATAAGCCCACAGCTGAGGCAGGAGGAGGGGAGTGAGGGGCTGAGGTTACTCAGGCTGGAAGGGTGTTGGTCCTGCTCGCAGGGAAGGAACAGCTCTCATGCCTGAGGGGGCTTCTTCAGTGAGCTCAGAGCAGATGGAGGCTGTCCCTTGAGCTGGATGGGGCAGGGAGGGGACAAGTGCTTAAATGGTGGCAACAGGCTGCTGCCACTCAAATGTCCAGCATTTGGGAGGGGTGGTGCCTAAAAAGAGTCCGTGGGGGGTTCGTCAGCAGCTACTGAGGGACAGGACACATGTGCCCAGAGGGGCTTTGCTCCCCAGTGAAGGAACAGCTAGGATGCCAAGTCCAGTTAAGGCCGGCTGCTCCTCCGAGGCTGTGAAGCCGCGCTCTCTTGAAGTGAGAAAAACCTTGGCTCCCGAGGCTCCCCGAGGAGCATGCTGCCTCAGAGAAAGAGGAGGTCAGAGGGGCCAGTGTGCGCTAACAGGTGGTCTGACAGCCTGCCCATAAATCACCTCCCTGGGCCGTCAGGTGGCCTCGCCACAGGTCAGAGGCAGCAGAGGCCTACTTGTTCCGCCTCACCTCTGAGGAAGCCACTGCCACCCACCCTCACCCAAAGCCTGCCCAGCCCACCTGGCTCCCTGAATCCGCCCCTTGTCTCCCGGCCTCCTACCCCGACCAAATATTTACGGACACTTCTATGGTCAACCAGGACCAGGGATTATTTTTCCACTGAGCACACAGGCCTGGGCCTCTTCTGGCCGGAGCACAATACTGACTTCTGTCAGGTGCTGGCAGCCAGTGAGAGGGAGCGGACCAGGACAGGCTCCCTTAGCTCAGCCCAGGAAAGCACTCCTCACCCACCCCCCACAAAGGGGTCAGGCCCTGCTGTGGACACCAGCTCTGTCCCCAGTATCTGCTGTCAGACCCCAAGCCGTCTCTTCTCTGGCACCAAGAAGAATCCTCCCTAAGGCTAGGGAGGCCTTTTAAGTCCTGAGCTCACTGTTCATTGCCTTCAGTCCCAAAACACTCCCTCCTGGCTGGTCTGGAGATGGTCACGGCAAGCATCTGGGCCGTGAATCAGTAAACAATTGCATCTGCCTGAGTGGAACAGAAACCTCAAGAAACAGTGGGGCTTCCCTACACAAAAAGTCTAGAGGTAGGCAGGCGGGAGGTCCTTGTCCCAGGCTCCTTCTGTCTTCCTGCTCTGGATGGCGTTTGTGCTTGTGGTTACAAAATGGTGCCTCCTCCTCCTCCCAACTTCTCAGCCACACTTCAGGCAGCAAGGCCGGGAAGGGCTCAGAGCAAAAGCGGCACATCAGCTGCCGCTGGCCCTTTTGATCAGGAAAACAGTAATTTCCCAACAAGTCCCACCTGGTAGATTTCCACTTCTAGCTCACCAGCCAAAACTGAGTCACGTGGCCACTCCACGTTGCAAGGGCGCAGAGGAAGTCAAGTATTTCGGGCGGGTACAAATTCAGAGTTGTGATAAAGAACAGGAGGGATTTGGGGTAGGCTGCTAAACACCCAGGATCAGGTAAGAAAAGGCAGTAAAACCCAGTTCTGGGTTCCAAGTCTGTGATTTCGTGTGACATTGGGAACATGGGCCAGCTCTAAAATGGAATAATAATGGCTACTTCATGGGGCAACTCTTACGTGGGAAATATATGAAAAGTACCTGGAAACAATGTCCAGCATTTAGAAGATGTTCGTTAAATGGGCATTAGTATTTTTCTTAACCAAAGGCCTTGATCTAGCACAGTGCCTGCACATAGTAGGTGCTCAATAAATCCTTAATGGACTTGTTAATCAAGTAAGAAACCACTACTGACAGGAAGGCAAGGAAAAGACAGGAACATCTTATCTAAAAGCCAGAACTGTCACTTTCAGAAGACGAATGGAAACTATAATACAATTGGAGTTTGGTTTCAAAAAATATACCCCAGGGCCGGCCGAGTGGCGCGATGGTTAAGAACTGGCTTGGGACGCCCGAGGGTCCCGGTTCGGATCCCACATATGAGGGCCAGTGACACTGCCCTCCACAGCTAAGATGCTGAACAACAGCTCAACCTGGAGCTGGGCTGCCGGGAGTCGCTGGCAACGGTGTAGGCTGCAGCCCCTGTGCCAGTGAGTTGCCATAGGCTACCGTATGTAGCCAGCAGCCAGCGTGAGCAGCCAGCAGCTGCTGTGAGCAGCCATCCAGAAGCCGGCAACTGATCTGCCTCGCCCGGGAAGAGCACAATGATGGTGCCAAGTTGGGCCAGTGAAGCAACGTCCTCCACAACTAGACTGAAGAACAAAACGACAGCAACTTGTTTGTTCCCATCCCCCCAATTCCCCAATATAAATCTTTAAATAAAAATAAAAATAATAAATAAATATATATATATATATATATATATATATATATATATATATATCTCCCAGAAGTGGTGTGTAAGCCAGTATGGGGAAGAAGATGTATAATACCAGTAATCAATAAGTATCAAGCCTATGCTGGGTGTCAAAGCACTTTAATATTCTAATTTAAGCCTCCTAACAGTCCTTTGAGGTAGATACTATTATTATCTCCATTTTAATGATGAGGCTCAGAGAGGTTAGGAATTTGTTGAAGGTCACACAGCGTGTACATAGTAGTGGTGCTAAGATTTGAGCCCATGCTCATAACGACTGCCTGCAGGAGGAAAAGCCAGAGGACAGGCCAGGGGGATACAGGCAGCCAGGCTTCTGCCACCCTGCCTCACAGGAAGATTTCTGGGAGCCCTGCTCTGAACCCACTGCAAGACCCTGACAGCAGCAGAGGAGCCAGCCTCAGACTGTGGCTTTTCTCCCAACTTCCAGAGCAGCCTACCCGACTCCCACCCCACACACACACCCCAGCCCCATCAGCATTCAGCCTCTTGGGTCCCACAAAGGAAGCTCACATCCCACAACTGTTTAGTCGGCTGTAAACCTGGCTAAAGTTCACTCCTTGGGAAATCCAACGTGGGGGGTGGTTGCTGCTGGAATGTGTGTGGCTGGGACCCAGTGTCCCAGCCCAGACAGCAGGCTCTGCTGGGGCCGTGAAAAGAGCAGACAGCCAGGGGAATCGGGAGTCCCCAGCCCCCAGCTGTGCCAGAGAATGGAATGTGCTGCTCTGGGTGTTGAAACAGACCCAGCCGAGGAAGGGGAGTGGGGGATGCTGGGAGCTGGCGGAGTTGGGGGGAGCTCCCGCCACAAGGCTGCCTCTGTTCCCCTGGAGGCTGAGCCCACTTCGTTAGGGCTGGGGGTGGGCAGGCCCCTCCTGTTAGCTCAGTGGCTCAGAAGCTCCTGGAGCTAGTCCTAGGCAGGACAGGGGGGAGGGGGACAGTCAGGGTTGCTATGTTCTCCCCAAGTTTCTCTTATGAGGCATCTATAGGTACCTGAGGCACAATTCACAGCCCAGCCCCACGGCTTACTAGTTATGTGACTGAGGCAGGTTACTTAACCTCCTCAGGCCTCCATTTACCCATTGGTTAAATGAAGTTATTAACAGAACCTAGCTTTGGGGGTGTCATGAGATTTAAATGAAATAACGAGCTCAACACATTGCTTGGCACAAGTGCTCAATAAACATAGGTATTATTATCTTAGGGCCACCAGCCATAGGATAGATGCTGGAGCCAGGGCCCCTCAAAAGGGGGGCCTCGAAGGTTCCATGGAGACAAGGGGATAAAAATGGAGCTTTGCACAATAGCCAAGACACAGAAACAATCAAAGTGCCCATCGGTCGATGACTGGATTAAGAAACTGTGGTACATTTATACAATGGAGCATTACTCGGCCTTAAAGAAGAACGAAATCTTACCATTTGGAACTACATGGATGGACCTAGAGAACATTGTGCTACGTGAAATAAGTCAGACGGAGAGAGACCATATGATCTCACTTATATATGGACTCTAAAGAACTGGATAAATGAGCAAACTAAACAGAAATAGTCTCAGAGAAATAGAGGAAAAACTGATGGTTGCTAGTTGGAAGAGAGGTGGGGATGAGGGAGGTGAGGTTAGAAAGCACAACTTGGTATTTACATTATTACCACAGGGATACAAAAGACAGTTTGGGGAATATAATCAATAATGCTGTAAAGATTTTGAAGGGTGTCAGATGGGCACTTGTCTTATTAGGGAGACCACTTCATGGACGGTGTAGATGCCTGACGACTGTAGTGTACACCAGAAGCTGAAGAATAATTTTGAATGCCAACTATAATTATATATATATATATATGGTCACGGGATGTGGAGTACAGCATAGGGAATAGTGTCAATGGAATTATAATAGCTATATACGATGTCAGAGGGTAATAGATTGGGGGAGGGGTGTTATCACTTTGCGAGGGGTGAAATGTCTAGTACATTGTTTTGTACACCTGAAACTAATAAAAAAAAAAAATGGAGGCTTCGTTTGGCTTCAGCTCCAAGGACAAGGTAATCAAGGACCACAAAGATCCTAGAAAGCACAGCCAGTTCAAGGTCTGCCTGGGCCACTGGAGGCTGCTCCCCACCACTACCAAACCACGAAAAGACAGGCAGGCCCTCAACCCAAGCCAGTCTGTGGTAGCTGGCAGCCCATCCCAGGTCTGCCCCAGCAGGCACCAGGGCTGCAGCTGAACCTGGCTACTGTCCCCTTCTCCTGGGTGCTTGAGAACTGGAAGGAATCTTTTAAACAGGCATCCAACTCTGCAATGAATCGTGTCTTCCAAGCCATCCCACGCTCAGTGCCCTCCATGCTGTTGACCCCAGCCAGTCAAATGTAAGGCACTATCCCATCCAGGGAAATCCCTCCATGGTTTCACATTCCCAGTGGTACCTGCTGTTTACAGTTGTCCATCCCTGGCCTGTTGTCACTGAGGCCCTCAAGGGGACAAGGAGGTGGCCCCACCAGCCTCCCTTCTGTGGGGTTACGACCCCAGATGGTGGGAACCATGTTTCTCACGCCCGTGTCCCACGCCCCACCAGCTACTTGTGCTCTGGTCTGCATTTCACCAACATTAGGCATTGTTTTCATTCTCTCAAAATAAAATGATATTGACTCTGCTTATTCCAACTATACTCTGGCCTCTCTCTGAGATTCCTTCTTGAATAACAATCTAAGATTATTCTCTGGTGTAAAGAAAAAATTGCTGTTCTAAGCCATCCAGAGCAGAGTTGTTTGTTCTTTCCCTGAAGACTGCTAGGATGACGGTGATAAGCTAGCGTTTCCTGAGCGCTTCCTCTGTGCCAGGCACTGCACTCCAACCTCACATGGGCTATCTCATTTAATCCTCACAACAGCCCTATGAGGTCAATGTCACTACCATGCCCATTTACAGATGAGGAAAGCAGCACAGGAAGCCTCAGGGACAATGGCCCTGTGGCAACTCCCATGGCATGGCTACAGCCGATAGCAGAGCACGGCCAAGTGTGGAGCTGGCCCACAGCAAGCACCCACCTCTAATGCCGCCAGGAAGCTCCGTGGCTAATGCAGCCTCTAAGTCCCCAGTTCCATCTGACGCCATGGGGAACATGCATCCTCAAATTGACAGTCACTTCCACAGTGCGAGGCTTCCAACTGACCTACCGTGACACATGCCCTCCAGAAGTGTGGGCGCAGCCTCAGCGGCCTCATCCCCGGGCCCGTGCTATCGCCGCTGTCCCCTTTTGCTCGAAGGCCCTGTTTTCCATTCCTCCATCTTCACCATTCCTCTGACCCACCAGTCTACTTTAACACTTTTTAAAGTGAACATACTTGTCTATAAAAACTGCCACGACAAGGTCCTGGCTGCTTCCTTGCCTCTCGGGGCCCCTCTGGGGCTGCTGGGGCTCCCCCATACTAGGGGAAGTCCCTGGGCTTTGCAGCATCCCACCTAGACCAGACCAAGGCCGCAGCGTGCTACGAGGATAGCCTGGCACCCCATCTGAGTTGCACATGCATGGGGCTGCCAGCTAACCTCAACCCCGAGGCAGGGTGTCGCCCTCCCCTCTTCACTGCCCCAGGCCTGCCATCTGGAGACAACAGTTCACATCCAGCCCTGGTCTGCAAAGTGCCCTGCCGAGCCCTTGCATAGGGCCATTGTAAGATTAAACGAAATGTGTGTAAAGCACTCACCACAGTGCCTGGCACCCAGTAATCACCCCACATACCCCAGCTCTCAGAGGACTGCTCAGACCCCGTCTCACAGCCAATCTTCTTCCCGGCTGGCTCTCAGCCTCCCTGAGGGCTGATCCTATTCTACTTTCTCAGAGGGATTAGCTAAAACCTTTCCATTCTACAGGCTGTATTGCTTAGCATTTACGAAGTTCTGGTCCTAACCAACCCGTGGCCCCCACACCTTGGTCACAAGACGGAGCATCGAGGCCATCGGACAAACATGCGCTGAGCCCGCCCTGTGCAAGGCACAGCTTTCCTCCACCACCCCCGGCTTCTGCCCAGACTTCAGCCTCCATGGACCCTCCAGCTCCGTCCTGCAGGCACAGCCCAGGCCAGCATGGGGGGCGGGGCGTGAATCCAGCTCTCCAGCCTCAGGGAGAAGATGAGTACAAGGACCAGGACAAAAACATAAGAAGCTTGAGGTCTTTTTATTTTATATGACAATTCTCCATATACACAGAAGTCTTTTCAGTTCCTCTCCAGTGTAAATGAAGCACAGGGTACTTAACTCTCGTCTCTGAACAGGATAAAGGAGCCCGAGGAAGGGGGTCCACCAAGGCCTGCCTGGCTCCCCAGGGACTTGCACCTCGCTGGCCTGGAACAGGCCCCGGGCTGCCCAGCTCTAGCTAGGCTGGCTGGCCTTGCAAGAAACCTGGCCTAGGATGGTCCTTATCTCCCCAGCCTGCCTCCTCGGTCCCTGCTTAGGGTATAGAAACATCTCCGCCTCCTGTGGGCTCTGGGTCCCAGGCAGCTCATGACTCCAGAGAAGCGTCCTAGGGTAAAAGAAGCCCCCCGTCCTCCTCAGCCCATCTCCTGTGCCACATGTTCCCAGGAACCATGCAATAAATAAATAAATATTTCAAAAGGCAGGGCAGCTCCAGGGGAAGGAAGGGGTGGGTGCCTGAGCCTGCTCATGGCTTAGAGAAAGACAGAGCCCCTAAGAGTCTAGAAGTGAATAGGAAATTATTGGAGATGGGACAAGTGGCCTTATACCATAACTGAGACTGTCCTGCAGGGAAGAGCCCTGGAATCTAGGACCCAACCCAGAGAGATCCTACACTTCCCAGGCCCCCAAAGGTCAAGGGCTTCGGGACCTCTGCTCTGCTCACCTGGTGTCACACTCTGGGGGACAAGGGGCTGGGGAGGGGAAATGTAGCTCTGAGCCAGAGGAGGGGTGCCCGAAGCTCTGAGTGGGGGAAACAGAAGTGACTGAGTGCTTGTCATCCACCCAGCAGGGCTGAGGACATCAGGACGACGTGAGATTCTGGCTGAGATTCTGCAAGTCCAGATCTCTGCAAGGTGGGGCTGAGGTCCTTTGAGCTGCTGGGGCTCCCTACGTTTTGCTCCGGTTATACGAAGGATCTGTCACGCCCCACTAGACATGTCCTCCTCTGGGGGAACTTGGCAACATCAACCCTGTTTCTACAACAGTTTTGCTCGGGTTAGCCCTGGGACATGAGGTCCTGATGCCTAGAAGGATATCCCAACAGCAGAGCTGGGGGACAGCTCTCCCAAGCCCTTCTGTGGACTCTCAGAGCCAATGGCTTGGCCTGGTACCTACCCATCAGAAGGAAGAATCTCTTTTCCCAATTTCTGATCTCCAATCTGAGAATTCCCAACCTTGGAGAAATGTCCTGATCCTCAGAGATCCCAATCTAGAGCAGGCGTGGCTCTCTGCTGCCCTCTAGCTTACATTCCTTGCCCAGCCCTGAGTCCCCTAACTCAGTCAGACCAGGGCAGAGCAGGGCCAACGCGCACCAGGCCCGCCAAAGCCTCCTCTCCCCTCTGGGGTTTGACGGCAGCCCTTACTGGCCATCTGCAGGAGTGGGGCACAGCTCCAGAGCCCGGCTGGAGAAAGCAAGGGCAGGAAGGGGAAGCCTACCTAGCGTCTGGGCCACATGTGCCCAGCACACGCCACATGGGGCTAGGGGTGGGGAGAGTGGGGTCTACTGCGGGCCCAGGGACCAGCGCCCGCTTGGACCCTGTCCCTTCTTCTCACTTGCTCAAGGTCTGGTTACACGAGGCACACACAAACACAGTCTCTCTCTGGGCTTCGGGAGCTGAAAAAGAGGAAGAACTTGGTGAGACACTTCCTCCTGCCCTTTCGCTCATGGCCCCAACTACTAGAGCTACCGCCTCGGCCCTCCAAGCCTACAGACCACCCACTGCCCAGCCCACACCCTCGCTGACCCGGCTCACCAGCCTGCCCTAAGAGACTTCTCTTTTCAGGGGAACCAGGGGCTTTGGGGGTGACCATGCCAACAGCAGGCCTCTCCCAGGTGTTCTAGGCATGAAAAGTAATTTTGCCACCAAAATGGTTTTTAAATAAAGAAAAAAATTTTCCAAAATGTTTTAACAGTGATTCTCTCTTGGTGGTAAGATTACAGGATTATTTTTCTCTTCCTTCCTCTTCTGTATAGTAATGTCCAAATCTTCTAGTATAAGCATATGCTACTTGCATGACCAGAGGGAGAAACAAACAAACAAAAAGCCCTTGATTTCTCACTGTGATATATCACAAGGCATACGTAAAACGTGCTGCCTTTTTAGAACACGCGCGTGCACTTATCCTGCGTGCGCGCGGGCGCTTCCTTTTGCTGCATTTTTTGTTTTGTTCTGTTTACAATGAGTATGTGCAGCTGCTATAGAAGGAAAAGACGTTCTTTTTATTTTGTTAAAAAGTGTTACCAAGGTAATGAGAAAAAGACTGAAATTCAGGACGTGGTCTCCCCTGGGGAAGGCAGGTGTGGCGCCCGGGAGGCTCGGTGGCGTGGCTAACGCTGCTCTATTTTTTAACTTCAGTGAAGCAGTCACAGACATTCACTACTGTGCTTCATTATTCAGATACATTATATATATTCTTTTGCATGCATCAAATATTTCAGTTGTTTGCTTGTCAAAGGGTGACGAAGGAGATGTCACCAGGGGCCAGACTAGGATCCCAAGTCCCCTTGACCTCTCACTGACCCCACTCCTTTCCCATGAGGCAGCACCTGCTCAGAGGAGGTGGGGACCAGCCAGCCCTCCCAACGCCCTGACCCCAAGCCTGCCTGCACACTTACCTGTGGCCCCCATGGAGGACCTGGGCACCTTGAAAGAGCAGCACCGAGAGCAAAAGCTGTTTCCACAGTTACTGCAGCTTCGCTGCAGATGAGAGCCAAGGTCAGTATCAGGTGCATCCCCCAGCCCCAGGCACCTGCAGACCCCAGCACCCCCTCCTGTCCACCAGCGGACCCCACCCAAGGAACCTGGGTCTACTGTGGGACCAGGGAGGTGCTAGGCAGGAACTGAGACCCAACGGGACACCCTCACAGAGACTTACCCTCTTCTTCAGCACTGAGAAGGTGGCCGAGCAGCCCGTACAGCTCCCTGACAAACAGAGGCAGCAGCTCAGACTCGACCCAGCCTGGGCCTCTCAACTCTCACCTGCTCCTGAGTCTTCTAAATGGAGACGCTCAAGAGCAAAGTCCAGATCCAGAGACGGAAGGAGGGAATGGATGTCTCCAGATGATACACAGATGCTAGACCCTGCATACTTCTGGGGCTTAGAGGCTCCAGCTGTAGGTCCAGCCAAAATAGAGGAGCACCCAGCAGACTCTCCCCCTGGAAACCACGCCAAGCCGGCAGGGACCTGACAACAGGCATCCCTCAGGGGAGGCAGCCCAACGACCTCAAATGAAACCTGCCTGATGTGCCCCTTGCAAAGTGTCCCCTTACAAATACTCCTTCCTCAGGTAAAGAAAGAAATGCCTCCTAAAACCCCAGACCCTGCTTTCTGTCATCTGATAGCAGGAGAGAGGCTCAGAACCAGGCATCTTCCAAGACGTGCAGGGCGAGAGCTACAGGATCGCTGAAAGTGGCGGGCAGATGGGGTGAACTAGAGCTGGGAGACAGAGCCTGCCTAAACAACCAGAGACAAGATAGCAAAGCTTCAGGCAATGGCGGAACCATCAGTGGCAGCTTAGAAACGGCTAGGAGGGGGTAAGGCAAATACAAGAAGAAATGAAGGATGAGGGAGGAGGAGAAAAATCATTCTTTTAGAGACTATTTCAAGCCTAATAGCTGTGCTCCAGGAAAAGTAAAGATGGAAATGAGGGGCTGCAACGAGGACAGTCTGATGAAGGGGGTGCATGCAGGTAAATGAAGAGAATCAAAAGGACGGAGGCAAACTGAGGTCTGAGGAGGAGAGGAAAGGCCACACTGGGAGCTATGACTTCAACAAGCTCCAGCAGCAAAAGCAAAGCCCGACAAGAACCAAGAAGGTTCCCGGGGCTGCCCCCAGGAGTACTGACTATGGTTCAGAGCAGACATCTCCATGCAGACAGAGGGAACCACGCGAGGGGAGACAAGGCAGGGTCCACAGTAGGCATGAGGGTGCTCCCAGAAGGGGACCAGAGAGGAAGCTGACTGGGTCCTGGAAAAGCTAGAGAAGGGGTAAGGCTACGGGGGAGGGGGAGAGTCCAGAGCTTGGGGCCCAAAGGCCTCCCATGATCTGGCCATAGCAGTTATTAGCGTCAGGGAGCACTGCTGTGCTCCTCGTCCACCTGTGAGACCAGGCCTCACCTTCACACAAAGACCCCGAAGCTATACTGGCACCGGCATGTGGCCCCTTCCTGTCCAGCCAGAATCCCCTACAGCTCTTGCTAAAGGACACTCCGTGTTCAAGGAAAGGAGGGTCCTAAATGAGCAAGGCAAACCTGAAGCCAAGGTGCTTAAGGTGAGTGCCATTGCTGTCAGTCAGCTTGTGGCCCCAGCACACAAAAGGAGAGCTAAGAGCACAGTGGGTGCTGCTGGCAGGGCGTGCCAAACCAGGATACAGGCTTCTCCAAGACTCTGTCCACCACACTAAGAATGTAGGCAAGGCAGCTGCCTCCACTTCTCCTTAGCAAGGCAGGCAGGGGCATGGAGCTGGGGGAAGGAACTGCTCCAACACGGATGCTCTGGCCCGCGTCTGGGGCGTCCTCTAGACTGGCTGGAGTGCCAGGGCCAGTATTCTCAGTTGTGCTAACAGTCAAGTCCACCCTTCTCTAAAGCTGCCTTCCTTGACTCATCCCCACCCCCCAGTAAAGTAAGGACTGGCCAGTCTATGAACTTGGCTGGGGAGAAGAGACCTCAGGGCTCTATCGTACCCAGACGAAGATACTGTGCTTCAACTTGCTTCCACCTGGAAAGGAAACCTCCAGACAGGCTCCGAGGCACCTGCTGGCTCGACCAGCGCCTCTCGAATTCACAACGGACGTTATTCAGCACTTACTATGAACCGGCCAGCACTGTGTGAGCACTTCCCAAGCATTATCTCATTTGAGGCCTCTAACAACCCTGTGAGGTAAGAACTGATTATGCTCCTTTTATAGAAGGGAAAACTGAGGCACAGAGAAGTTAAATAATGTGTTCAAGGACACCCAGCAGCGCTGGGAGCTGCACCAGGCAGTCAGACCCCACACTCTGTTCTCTGCCATTATGCCACGCTGCCTTCTGAGGTTCTGCCTGTCTCAGGATTACACCTGTCTGCAGTCCTGGGGTGGCGCTTCCGGAACTGAGTCCCTTATCTTCCCATGAGCTAATGCTCAATAAGGACAGAGGGATGAGAGGGAACCCATGCTCACTCCCTCAACAGTCCTGCTGTGCGTTTGCTTCCTTCCCAGGGTCCCATGGACACAGCTTCATTCCTTGCTCTTGTCACAAACCGGTACCCACAATTCCAAGACTTTGGCCCTACAGCAGCGGTGCCCCTGCCCCGTTCCTGTCCCCCGGCCGTACCAAAGTTGTTGGTAGGGTACCGCTTGCGGAGCCGTTCTGTGAGCCGCGACACCTTGCTGCGCAGCACCTCATTCTTGCTCAGGAACCCGTTGTCCTGCAGGGCCAGCTCATCCTCTGCCGGGCACGGGGCGCCCTCATCATCCTCCTGTGGAAACAGCTCCTTCCAGTCCTGCCCGCCTTGTGGCAGGGAGCCAGGACCTGCGTGCAGAGGCACCATTGGACACTTGTGGGCAGACCCCACAAGGCATGGTGAGAGCTGGCTCCGCCACCGTCCCCCAGCCCAGCCCCTGCCCAGCTCACCAAGGCTCCTACTCACCAGCACCACCAAGTGGGTCTCCTGCCTCCCAAGGTGCAGGGGAGAAGGAAAGAAAACAGAGAGAGAGATAGCAACAAGGAGGAAGCTGCTAGGAGGGGGGAACCCCAAGTAAAAGGAAACACTGAAGTGCTGCTCTGAGTTCTGTCTGAGCACATCCCAAAGGGCGACATTAACAGAGGCCCCCATAAAAGGATCCCAACATCAAGTGAGCTTGTGAGAAGCTGTTTTTCAAACTGGGTGAAATTAAGTGGGTCATTATTTTAACAGAATAGAAGAGGACAAGAAAGAAAATATCTCTTACAATGTATTTTTCAGGAAACTTTTGTTTCAGTTAAGCTTTACATTTATTAGACATAAGTGTGAACTGGGCCAACATGTCCGTGTGTTCTTCACTGTGGGTTATAAACAAAAATGCTTGAAAGCCCCTGCTATATATACTCCCCACCACCACCACCATCAAGATTCAGAGTCCACAATCGTATAGTAAAGTCTCACAGAAATCTTTTAGCAGCTGAAAACGTCAATGCCTACATGGACGGGGCTGATGTAAAAGGGAATGGGCTGGGTGTAAATCACAGGTCCGGTGAAAACTCCCAAGACCCCATTTCTTATATCTCAATTTCCCACTTTACAAAGAGACATAAAGAGAAATGATTTCCTACTGTAAGAAAACAATAGCACAAATGTGACAATAAATGACAACCGCCATTTGGACTCAATAACCAGTGAGTGGTACGGACTGTGTAACTTTTGTCAGGGAACAGTCACTTCTCAGCTACACTGACCGCTGCAGACTCAGGGCTACCAGAGCTTCTGATTGTTCAGAAAAATTGAAAATCCAGAGTGTTCACTGAAATCTCCCTGTTTTTAAATGTTGGCTCAAAAAAAAATGTTTTAAGGTTTATATGCCAAATAAAACACTTCTGCAAACTACCAGTTTGAACCACTGTCTCAAAATCAGGAAGACTGTTTCACTTTCTCGGAGCTAGCACTTGACCGTGCAACTGCTTTCTCCCCCTCCCTGCCCTGCCCCCCAAGAGGGCCATCCTTCAGGCCTCATTCTGCGTAAGAACAGTCAGAGACCCATGGCAGTGCCCACCCTCAAATCGATGTGCCTTGCCCACATCAAAGGTGCCAAGTCCGTAGTCTCCAGCCAAGGTGGTAAATGAGCCACCTCCCCCAGCAAGGCATTTCCCAGAGGCTTCCAGGGCCATCCCTGCCCTGGGCACCCAGGACAGGTGACTAGATCAGTGACAGTATGGGCAGAAGTTCAGTGGCCCCGTTTCATCTAGTGAGTTCTAGCTCAGAGCCATTTTCAGCTTTTCATTTGGAGGTAAGAGAATTTTTAAAACCCAGACTTAGGATGTGAGAAGCCACATGGCTCCAGGACCATCCAACTTCTGGCCTGGTCGGTAGAGAATGCTGGGTAAGGGCCACCCACCTCAATCGCATCTTTAAACTCCTCGTCGGGCTCAGCCTCCTCGGCCTCCTCCACACTGCCTGGCGTGAGGTCCTGGGAATAGAGATTCTATGACAGGAGAGGGTTGGCAACCCTGCCCCCTAAGGCAGAGGCCACCTCCCCTGAGCCAGCATCCAGGTTTCCCAAAACATCTGTTTCTGCCCCAGAGGAAAGGGCACAGCCGCGAGAAGGAAGCTGCGAGAAGAGGGCCCTCTCTCACTTAGCAGGAACAGGGAGACGGGATCTAGACCATGAATGGACCTACAGTGGCTGTACAGCACAGCGGCGGAGAGCACGGGCCCGAGAACCACACGGCCTGGTCTGAGTACTGGCCCAATCCGCCTTGGGCAACTACTCTGTGCCTCTGCAAATGAGAATAATCTCATCCTCAGCAATAACCTACACCTCACGGGATTAATATCTATAAAGGGCTTGGAACAGCAGAGTAAGCAGTCAACAAAGCTATTATTATTATTATTACAAGTATAATTATTAAGCACTTCAGAGGCGACGGGGTCTGAGAAGAAACAGAAACCACACACAGGCCAGCCCAGGAGCTATGGGGTACGAACAAGCTGGTAGCAGGAAGGCCCCGGAACCTGCCCACAGCAGGCTCTCCCTGATGGGGGGGGGGCACTCACCTCTGTGGGCGTCGTTGCAGGCGTGCAGTCCGGCAGAACCCCTTTCCCCCCAGCACCTGGCGCTGGCGGCGGACTCTGGAAGGCACCATCTTCCTGGCTGGAGTGCATCCGCCGCTGTAGAGATGCCCTGTACTCAGACACCACTACCCAGGGCAAGGAAGGCAGGATGGAAGGCAGAAACAGGACAGAATGAGTGGCGCTTTGGGGGTACCCACTTCTGCAGCTGGCTGCCTCTTCCTCTAGCACCCGACTCTCTGCTTCAGGAAAGAGATGCCCTCCTAACCCTGGACAAGTCACCTAACCTAAGCCTCATAAACAAGACAGAGATAACACCACCCACCCCATGAGATTACTACAGAGAGATTAAATGTAGTAAGTGCTCAATAAATTAGGGCTTCTATAATTAATTATCCAACCACAGGGAGGAAAACAAATACAGCAATCACCCCAACATATGTACAGGCTTCTGTGACTCAGGGCCTCTCCAGACTGCCTCACTGCTTTAGAAGCCAGACAGCAGACAAGGGTTCGCATCACACAGAGATGTGGCAGCAACTCCAGGTGGCTGCATCCCAGGAGGCGGGTGGCAGCACTGGGAAGACATCCCTTTCTCATCTCCCAGAAGCCACCATAAGCAGTGATCCACCCGCCTCAGAAAGGCAGAGGGACCATTACGGTAGCCGCCTGCCCTGTGCCCCACCTAACATCTGAGAGGCAGAGCCCAGGAGAGCCCTCCAAAGGAGGGCCCTGTTGTGGTGCTGCCCCCCTGCGGGAGGCACAGCACAAGGCGATCAGCTGTAGAAACAAACAAGGAGCTTCTTGGGCTGCCTCTATCAGGCTTTCCAGGGCTTACCTCGGAAGAACTCCACATTCCCCAGAAAGAGTGTGCTGTTTAAAAGGGCAAGGACCCAGCACAGTGGCAGCAGATACAGCATGCAAACTGTACCCAGGAGAGCCCCATAGAACCTGGATCAACAGAGAGGAACCACAGGATCAGAAATGCGTAAGACCAGAAGGAAACCGGTTTGGAGCACACCCACAAAGGGGTCTAGGTGAGAAACAGCTCTGGGCACACTTAATAAACTGACAAGATCTGCTAATCAGACAAGTGGACAATCAAGCGGGGAGTGAGGATTTACATCTACCAACAAGTCACTGGTTGCTAATAAGTCACTGGTGAGACCACAGCAGTTGTGGAGGCTGAGGCCACATAAACTGGTTTCACTTTCATCACTCCTCAGGCTCTAGACTCTGGAGTCTGGAATAAGACAGACATGGCTTTGAATCCAGCTTTGCCACTTCTCACTGTGTGCCCTTAGGCAAGCCCCTTGGTTCTCTGAGCTATACTTCCTTCCCATGCTAAGTGGGGATTAAAATAGTGCCTGCCTCCTAGGGTTACTATGAAGAGTAAGACAACAGATGGCAAGTATTGAGCATAGGGCCTGGCACCAGGGGAAAACTAAATAAATATTAGTTGTCACTATTATTGATGTATAAAGAGCCTCGAGAACATTCCTTCCACTTGATCCAGTAGTTCCAACCTTGAATTTATTCTAAGATAAAAATTTCAAAAGATTAAAGCTAAACCCATAAAAATGTTCATTACAAGGTTAGTAATAAAAAGTAGAAACTGACCTGAAACTAATATAAAAAAATAAAAATAAAGTAGAAACTGACTAAACATGTAACATAATTGTTTCATAAATTATAGTATATTTACCATCTATATTAATCTGGTATTACAAATAATTCCAAAACCATGTAGTAACAAAGGGAACCATTTATGATATAATGATAAGTGAAAAAGAAAAAAAGGAACCTCACATACACTATGAAGCTATATAGAGTATATGCATGTGACAAACTCTAGAAGTCAATCCAAACATGAGATCAGCTGCTAGATCAGGGTGGGAGATTACATGGTGAGTTATTTTCTATTATTAAAATATTTTACCATTCCTAAAAGAAGGTATCTAAACCAAAGCAGTGCATTTGTGCCCACAAGCCTGTCTGCACGTCTGCACACAGGGCCTCAGGGGCTCTCTTCCCCTGAGCTCGGGGCACAGGGGCCCTCTCAAGGTAGCTGGCTTTGCCTGGGGCTCAAGTCGCACGTTCCTCCAGGGCAGCAGTGGGGGGCACGGAGGGGGCCACTCACTGTGAGGACACGGTGGGGTTCTCCCAGTGCAGCACACGGTAGGCGGCCTCACAGGTGCAGCACAGGCGGCTCAGGAAGGCCTCCAGCTGGATCAAGCTGCAGACACAGGGGACATCTGTGAACCGCACGCCCTGCCCCACTCACCCAAGGGGCCTGACAGAGCTCTGGGGCAGCAGAGCCTAGGGCTTCACAGACACAGTAGGCTAGGAATGGCCGGTCTCTTCAAACCCACTGGAGGGGCTGGAGAGCTCGGGAGTTTCAGTCCCTTCTGGAGGCCCTGCTGAAGTGGAAACAGGACAGGAGTTCCTGCTTTGGTCTCTTCTAGTTACTGATGTGGGGCCTTTACTTAACTGGGCTGCAGTTTTCCTCTACAAAATGAGGAGCAGGGTACCTACCTCACAGATACACTAGAGCTGGAGGATAAATGGCAGGAGGTAGATAGAAAAATGAGTCTCCACCTGGGGTGTAAGGCAGACTCACTTGGAGAGTTGCAGTTTTTTTTTCTAATGGATGCACCCCAGAAGCCATGAGTACATGCTTGTACAATAAGCACCCAGATCTTGGTTTCTGAGGGCTCCTTGGAGAAATGGCTGGTTCTAGAACTAGGGTAGAGAAAGTTTAAGATGAATCTGAACATCCTACTGCACCATAAAGGAGGCAGGCAAAAATGATGGGGTCCTATCGAAAGAACACAGAAGCCAGTTCAATAGGGCTCCTACTAGCCAAATCTAGGACAATTTGAGATCGAAATAAATAATAACAGTAATGGATTATAACACATGGAATTAAGTTAAAAATCTTGAGTTTGTATTGATAACAAGTAAGAATTACAGTAGAATACCAGCTAACAATGACAATTAGAAAATCACCTTTGCAACTGTCACACAAATAAATTGGTGAAGGCAAGACCCATCAATGGATTTAAACGTAGTGAGTAAATGTTTGATGAGGAACAAGGTATTTACTTAGTCTCAAAGTATCCCCCCTCAGATTACTAACTCTAACAGGTAAAATGGTCATCTTACAGCAGAGCAACCTTAACCACGAGATCAAAGTTAGTATTTCCTATAAGGAGACAGGCTGACATCATGTACCTCCTGACACGATGCACTGACAGCAACACATCACTTGTCATTTCCTGCCAAAAATGCATAGCCTGAGTCTAATCATGAGGAAACAAACAACCCCAAACTGAGGAAAATTCTACAAAATAATAAGCTTGTTCTTTAAAAAAAAAAAGTCAAGGTCACAACAAACAATGAGAGGAACTCCTCCAGGTTACAGGAGACTAAAGAGACATGAAAAATTAATGTAATATGTGATTCTGATGGGATCCTGGATCGGGGGGAAATTCACATAAAAGACCTTATTAACACAACTGGTAAAATGTGGTTATGAACTTTATATTAGATAACAGTACCAATGTTAATGCTATCAATGTAAAATTTCCTAATTTTGATTACAGGACTATGGCTATATAAGAGAATGTCCTTGTCCTTAGGAAATACTGAAGTATTGGGGATGAACAGGCATGATGTCTGCAACTTACTTTCAAATGGTTCAGGAAAAAAAAAAATTGCGTGAGTGTGTAGACAGAGATGCTGCCAATGTGGCAAAATGTTAATAACTGTTCTGAGTAAGGAGCATATGCGAGTTCTTTGTATTAGTCTTGCAACTCTTCTGTAAGTGTAAAAGCATGTCAAAGTAAAAAGGTTTTTAGAAAACCAGATACCCAGGCCCCATTCCAGATAACTGACTCAGATTTTCTGGGAAAGGGTTGAGGAGGCGGCCTCCGTTTGTTCTGTAAGTTTTTTTTCAAACTCTGCAGATGCTTCTGTTGCCCAGGGAGGAAGGAAACCCTGATGTATGTCCATCGAGCCCTATCCAGGGAGGGCTCAGTAAATGGCCGCTGCCACTCACATTGTTACATCAGTATTATTCAACAGTCTTAAGGAGCTTCCTCAGAAGTACCAGCTCTGTCATATTTAGGAAGCTTCTCCATAGTGCAGTGACGATGACTAATATTTACTGAATACTTCCTGGGTCCCAGACACTCGTTTAATCTTCCCAGCCACCTATGCAGTAAGCCTATTACTATCTCCTTCAGCAGATGAAGACCCTGAGTCACAGGGAGCTGAGCAACTTGCCCGATGTTACACAGAAGTAAAGGTAAGAGCTGGGATTTGAACCCAGGCAGTGGCTCAAGCACGCACATGCTTAGTCAAGATGCTACACTGTCTCTCCAGTGGGAAGAACACAAGCTGTGAAACCAGCTGGATCTGGATTCTCATCCCAGCTCAGTCACTTTCTAGTTGCAAAGCATTTTCCTCATCCATAAATGAAGGATAATAATAGTAGCTACCTCCTTAAAAAGATGAAAGGAAATAACATCTGTGGTTTGCCTAATACAATGCCTGGCACACTCGGGGTGGTGGGAGGTGTTGCTGTGACTGTCCCTCACCTCCCTGGCCCTTTCCATACTCACAAGCTCTTCACCTCCGCCACGGCCTCGGGGCGAGACAGGCGAACTCTTTGCAGGTCCTCCTGCCTCACGCTGTGATACTTCCTCCGCATCAGCTCAGACTCAGGGAGCCGTGCCCGGCAAACCTCCTGCAGGTAGCCCAGAAGGGCAGGCACTGAAATCACCAGGGCGCCCACTGAGTACCATGCACCTGTGGGATCAACAACACTAGGTAAACAGGTAGCAAGGACCAGGAGCCTCTGTCCACCCAGGTGTCCCTCACCTCCTTGAGGGTTCTGCCCGAGAGGCCTTCCCTGATCACCCCGCAGGAAATGGTGTCTCCCTCCTCACTCTCCAGCCCTTTAACCCAGCTTGATTTTACCTCACAGAACTTATCACATGTTGGATTACAGGTATGGTCATTGTCTGTTCCATGAATGTAGGCTCTTGAGGACTGGGACTTGGTTGATCTGGTCACTGCTGTAGCCCCAGGCCCATTTTTTTTTTAATATTAAAAAAAAAAACCCTATGCTAGCACACAGTAGGTGGCTCATGCCTAGAGTGTTGCCACTGAGAGCTCCCGATGAGTGGCATTCTGACCTTTGGGCCACTGGGGCAGACTGGACGCCTTTCCTTTGGCTTTTAGGATACCCCAGACCACTGTGGATTAAGAAATGGTGAAGCTGAGAGAAAATCCAAAGAAGGAATTCTAGTATCCCCAAGGCAGGCTAACAGAGCACTGGACACAGAGTAAATGCTTGTTAAATATCTGTCATCTCAACTGATTTACTTTGGAAATATATTCAGAAAACCTAACAGCCTGGGAATGATATCTGAGTTTTCAACAGGCAAAGAAGAGCCCTACTAAGAAACAAGATGAGCTCTTATGTGAATTGGGTTTATTTTCAACCCACTGAGTCCATATCTCCATAGGAAACAAAGGAGACACTGGAGAAATGTGAGCTCAACAGAAGAATGAACACACGAATAAAGGACCCAGCTCCTCAGGATAGTCTGATCCAGGTCCTTTACTGTTTCCCCTGAGGGGTTTGAATTTTTCTATCGCTATCTGCCAGTTCCAACCAGAGAAAAGGCTGGGTCACAGCATAAAAGGTCCTCCGGAGCCATCACTACCTGAGACCCCTACAGCCACCCACCTGTCCATATATCTACTTCACAGGCTTCAAGCCAGACCCCTCACTGGTGGTGACTTCCCAGTAACACTCACCAGGCTCATTTGCTGAGCCAGAAAAAAAAATCCTTATCAGCTCATCCTCCTGGTCCCCTCACCCCAGGCCATGTCCCAAATGACCCCGGGATCAGCTTGGAAACCAAAATGGGAAAAGGTCAATGCATCAGCATTCAGTCAAGAAGAAAACAGTAATAATACAGTAATCTGCCATTATCCGCAGGGGATGTGATCCAAGACCCCCAGTGGATGCCTAAAACCGCAGACAGTACTGAACCTTACATATACTATGATTTTTTCCTATACATACATACCTATGATCGTTTAACTTACAAATTAGGCAATTTCACAGATAGAAGATTCATTCTTACTGTAGAGCTTAGTAACCTCAGCATACAATTTTTTTTTTTCCTTAAGTCGAGAACTTCCACCTTTTCACTTAAAGGAAGGACTTTATGGCTTCTCTGTGGCATATCTGAATTGCCAGCATCGCTACTCTTGCGCTTTGGGGCCATTATTAAGTAAAATAAGTAAAAAACACAAGCACTGCGATACAACAGTCGAACCCACTAACCCAGGCAGCTACTAAATGACTAATGGGCAGGTAGTGTATACAGTGTAGATACACGGGACAAAGGGATGGTTCACATCCCAGGCAGGGCAGAGCAGGAAGGCTACTCATGCTACTCAGAATGGCAAGCAATTTAAAACTTACAAATTGTTTATTTCTGGAATTTTCCATTTCATATTTCTGGACCATGGGTGACTGCAGATAACTGACCATGGAAAGCAAAACCATGGATAAGTGTGTGTGTGTCGGGGGGGGGGGGGGGGCCCTTGCAGA